TAGTACCATAAGCTTATTCTACCTATTCTCTACATGAGAAATTCAGGCTACCTGAGTGTTTACAGCATTATAGAAGAGTATATTTTGGACAACTCTCGAACTAGACATCTGCATTTCAGGCAGAAGTAGTGACACACTCATCATAAAATTTTGGAAGAATTATTGTTTGTTTTCCTTCTGGCATTCCTACTGAAACCCCCAAGGGGGTTCTGTCATACCCAATGCTAAAGATTCACCAAAAACATGGGACAGGAGGCAAAAAGGAGGAAGGAGGAAGAAAATCTCTACAATGCTCTTTACAGCACTAAGAGATCTGCTGCAATTTGAGCAGTATCATTTGCCACAAAATTAACAAAAGCACATTATCCTGTTCTATTTCTGTATTCTGAAATGGTACCATGGGGAACAAGAATATTTAAGCCTTTTACAGTGTCTGCAGGATACTGCTCCTAGTCATTCACGGTTTTTAGAAAGAAAGGCCTTTGAAGACCAACAGTGAACAACTTAGTTTAGCTTGGTTTGTTGTGTTTGGTTTTTTGTGGGTTTTTTTAAGTAACTAAACAGTTTCAATAAAGAAGTCAGAATCATCTGGGCAACAGTATAAGCCAGCCACTGTCAGTTGTCTGTGTTTGATCTAAGAAACAGTATTGTCAAATTGGAAATTCAGTTGGAAACCAGAGTGGTACTTAAATCACAAACTAGTAGGTGTCTAACTGGCCTTTGAAACTTGTAGAGCAGCAAATAAACATCTCTGCTCACGTTAATCCTCTGAGGTTAAAAATGATTAGCCTAAAGTCAGTTCAACCACACTAATTCCAAAACTTGCCAGGAAAGTAACTTTTCACCAAATTATAACATACCAGTATTCAACAACATTTTTGACTGCAGGTCCTCCAAATGAGTATTTACATAAGAAACATTTAAAAATATTTCACATCAGTAGTACTGGAAGCTAAATAAAAAAAATCTGAAAAATATTTCACATTCTATGCACCAGAATAGGTAGCAGAATATTCAGGCTTGAAAAGGGATGCTTTTTCCAAAAACTGTCATGTTTTTGTAAAAAGAGAAATTTGGCCATAGCTATTAAATTCTAGGGTGGAGAAGCACAGCTGGGACACAAAGATTCAGCACTTGGCATTTGTTCCATCTTAAAACTGGCAAACTTAAACTGGCAAAACCAACTGATCGTACCTGAAAGCTCTTCTGATGAGCTGTTGTGCAGTTCTTTACCCCAAATATTTAAAGTAGCTTCCCAAAAAAGTGTTTAGATCTTGACTAACTTTGCATATAGGATTGATCAAGGATTCCTGTTGGATTACAGAATCCTTCTGCAAGTATTTTTTTAACTTGTATGAGACTAAATCCCACTCTTAGTCTTGTTCCCGTTTCTCTCCCTTTTGGTACACATATACACAAAAAAAGCAACGAGAGAAAAAAATGTATCACTCCCCACACACACACCATTCCCACTCTAATTCAGCCTGGATCAATATTCCTGATCAGGTTTTT